CCGACGCTTTGGATTGGTTCCTTGATAATAATGGTCTCTATTGAAACTTTTCCATATATATATATATATATATATATATATATATATATATATATATATATATATATATATATATGGAAAAGTTCAATAGAGAATCAATATGAATCAAAGAACCAAGGAACCCATCTTAACCATCTCTTTTGTTTTAATCTTGGCCATTAATCCATAATTAACCAAAAAAAAAACACGGAGGGGCATTTTGGTAAGTTCAGCGTCTCATTTAACATCCTGTTTGTCTCCGTTAGCGTCTTCTGATTTCAGCGTCTTCTGTTACTGTCCTTCATCTTCTAACACTACACTGATCGATCCAAAATCTCGCTTGTTGTTCGAAATCTCAACCTTTTTCATCCAATTTACTAATACTTTCTTTAGATTTCAGCTAATAATCAGGTATCATCTTTCGTTTATGATTATTAGGTCAATTATGAACTTTGATTTTACCGTTTTTCTTCCGATGCATTGTTATTGTAATCGTCTGATTGTAAAATTCTCTTGATTTTACCGTTTAATTTTCAAATTGTTATGTTTTTATTGTTAATTTGCTAATTTTATGTCGTATGTTGAGTATACTGTTTTTCATTCGATCGTTTTTGTAATCATTCGTCTGTAATGCATATTCGACATTTAGATAATCAATTATATCTTGTGCATCTTCTGACATTTAAGTTTTTTCCAAACTTTTAGTGATTTTGAGAATCTTATCTTATCTTGTGCATATATTTAAAAATTTTGTGATTATCTTGTTTATTTGTTTCCTTTTTTGTATAATTATCAATTCTAAATTTCTAATCTGTATATAAACTCCAGGTCATCGACGATTCATTATGAGTTCTGTGAATTCTTGTTCAGATTTGCATTCAACTATTAATGAACAATCACGTAAGTTTTTTTTTTCTTAATATAAATTTCACATTTTATATATAATGTAATAAAATAGATGTTTTGTTTGGTTTTGCAGTTCATGATCAATCATCTTCAAGTATGAATATTGATCATTCAAATAGCAGTAATTCTTGTTATAGTTTTGATTTTGAGCTCTACAATACTGAAACTTTTAAGCTTGTTCCTTATGATAAGTTGATACATAAGAAGCCTTTCAAAGGATTGTTGTTTGATTCGTTGGACATTGGTCTTGACTTTTACAAGACTTATGGTAAAGAATCTGGTTTTGATGTGAATATGTCAAGTCAAAAAAGATACAATGATGGCACAATTTATATTTAGATATTCGACATGTAGTAGATCTAGTTTCACAGAGTCATTCAAGAATGAAAATATTAATGTGAAATTTTCAGATGTTAAGGGAAGGAGAACTTCTTCTAAGAAGAACGGATGCCCTGCTGTTTCAAAGTTCAAGAATCTCCGATGTTCTTTAATGTTCTACATTTATGTGTTTGTTGAAGATCACAACCATGAACTTGTTGCTCAAGATCAGTTGCACTTATTAAGGATTAATAGGACAATGGATTTTCTTGATGAATCCTTTATACATAAGGTTGGTACTTGTAACATTGGTGCTTCAAAAGCTTATAACTTGGTGAGTAGTATGAAGGGTGGCTTTGATTCTAGTGGAGGTACTGCAGTTGACTTTAAAAATTTTCATAGAGATTTGAATTCTAAAATTGGTGTCAAAGATTCCCAAATGGTTGTGGATATATTGACAAACAAAAAATTGTGTTTCTCTAATTTTTCATTTGAGGTCCAAAAAGATGTTGATGATCATCTTACTGGACTTTTTTGGGTTGATGATACTTCGAAAGCTAACTATAAGGAATTTGGAGATGTAGTATCTTTTGATGCTACTTATCAGACAAACAAGTAATTCCTAATCCTTATTTGTTCTTTTTATGGTATTTGTTCTTTTTAATAATACTTATCAAAAAAAATTCAGGTATTCTATAGTATTTGTTCTTTTTACTGGAGTTGACTACCACAAGCGTTGTGTTACTTTTGCTGCTGGTTCACTAGCTCGTGAGACAGCAGATGCATATGTGTGGTTGCTTGAAGTGTTTCGTAAAGCATTTGTCAAGCCACCCATGATGATTGTAACAGATCAGGATTCATCAATGAAGAAAGCTGTTAATTTTGTTTTTCCTGAATCGAACCATAGACTATGCATGTGGCACATCACTCAAAAACTTGAGGAAAAGGTATATTCTTTGTTTCTTGATTCCTATATATGTTTATAACCATATAGATCATAAATCACATTGTGAATTCACAATGTAAATTTGCATATAATGAAAGGAACAAATCTAAATCATAAATCACACTGTGAATTCATAATGTTAAACAAATGTTATGTTACTATGAATTACATCAAATATTCAACATATGTAATGATTCTTATGTGTTTCTTTTTTTTAGATTCCTATTGATGTTTATAACCATCCGGACTTCCAGAAGACATTTTTTGATATTATATGGAATCTTCAATGTTCTCCACAAGATTTTGAAAGTTCGTGGTCAACAATGTTAGATAAGTTTCATCTAAAAGAAAATGACTGGTTAAGGTCTGTTTTTAAAATAAGGGATTTATGGATTCCGGCTTTTATGAGAGATCTTGAACTTTCTGGTTTGATGCGAACTACTTCAAGATCAGAGAGTCTGAATTATGCTTTCTCACATTTTTTCCATCATAAATCAAATTTGGTGAATTTCATGATGTCGTTTGATAGTGCAATGGAGAAGCAAAGGCATCATCAATCTTTATTAGATTATCAATCCACAACTACTCCCCCCAAGCTAAGGACTCCTTTGGCTATTGAAAAGCATGCATCGAAAATTTATACACATAATATTTTCTTGGACATTCAGAAAGAGTTATACAAATCTGTGTTTTATTGTGTTCAAGAATCTGTAGTTATTGAAGATGAAAGCGAAGTTTATGTTTTGAGAGATAAGAAGAAAAAAAAGTTGATTGATAAAAATGTGAATGAGGATGAAGATTCTGATGATTTTTATCGAAATAGTCTTCCTTCTCATTGTCCTAATACTCGTTACAAGGTATGTCTATTTTTCCTAATACAGTTTATTAAATATAAAATGTAGTTTAAAAATTCACACTGTGAATGTAGGATGTTTTGCTAATTCACAGTGTGAATTTTTATAGAGTTATAAATTTTTAGATTAGTATGGAATATGTATTTTTTTTTTGTGAATTTGATTTGAAGTACATATTTATATTATAGTATTATGATTTCTAATGTCCTGTTGATTAATAATGTGAATCGATGTTAATTTGTATAATTTTTATCGAATTGTATGAGATAGAATTTCTTATTCACATATTAATTTGTTTATTAAGGATAATTTTTGTAGGTTGTATTTAGTAGAAGGGGTGATAGCATTAGCATCAGTTGTAGTTGCATGCTTTTTGTCCAGGAAGGATTGTTATGTCGTCATATGTTTTTCATATTAAATATGAAAGAGTATGATGAAATTTCATTTTGAGGAGATGGGGAAAAGATATCATAGCTGATGGATTGTTGAGAAAAAAGTACTCATATCCTCATAAAGGCAGTAAAAATGAATGTTTGATTCAAGATGCGTATGCTATTCTTCGTTTGTCCATTAACAAGATAGCAAATAATGAGGATGAGTTGGCTAAATATATAAAGCAACTTCAGGAGGTTGATAGTGGTATTCCTTTATGTACCTCATCAAGGGCATCTTCGAATAGATCAGTTCACATTGAAAAAATTATTGGAGCTGCAGTACCTGATGTTATCAACATTCATAATCCAGAGGGGATCAGAAACAAGGGATGGGCCAGTGGTAAAAGAATCAAGAGCACTAGAGAGAAAGTGATTGAGAAATCTAAAAAGGGTTCTAGGTTGTGCAGTTTATGTCATAAACCAAATCACAATGCTAGGAGTTGCATTTTGAGGTTAAAGAAGTCTGATTTAGAATCTGAGGTTACAGAAGGCTGATTGTTTCTAATTTTTTCTTTTTAAGACTACTAAAATAAGATTTGATTTTTGTAATGATCATTCAATGGTTAGAAATGTTGAAATATTGTTGTTAATTTTGATATTCATTGTTTTAGACTTTATTTCTAATAATAGAATATATTTTTTTTCAAATTTAGTGTTTTTGGTTAAAGATATTTTTTTATTGTTAGTTTTTTGAATATTTTCTAATAAAAATTTCATGCTAATGATTTAATTTATGTATATTATTGTTAATCTCATATATAAAATTTTCATGTTAAAGATTGTCTTAATGTAATTTAATTCACATTGTGAATCTCAACTATTAATTGTTCTAATGATCTATATGTACCATAATTCACATTGTTAACCTCACATATAAAATATACATGTTATAATATGTACTGTAATTCACATTGTGAATCTGACATATTAAATTTTCACAAGGTTAACATATAAACAATGTAAATTTTCATATTTTTAATAAAACATGTAATTGTATAACATACATGTAGACATTCACATGAAAATATAAACATCTTTTAAGTATTTAGTAAAGTTCATTATATTTGATATAGAAACTAACATCAAATTGTAACATAACAAGCATGTATATGTTCTTAAAGAAATTAAAGTGCATCTAAACTTATACTAATTATGAATAGAAAACTAAGTTTTAAGTTTTACACTTCTTTTTCCAATCCTTGAAGTACTATATCCTTTCTCCCCTTTTTTCCCATCCCTTGTCGAGCAAATCTTTTATTTCTTCATTAGTCTTCTTTGCAAACTTAGCTATTTGTGCAATGATTTTTGACTTTGTGTGTGTTAGTGTCACTTACTAGTATCTTTGTCAAATACTTAATGCGTAACTCGTTTAACACACTTTGTTGTTGTTTTGATTCTTTTGGCAACCCACATGTCCAATTTACTGTTTTATCTCCCATATATGTCTCCATATGACGCATGCAAAAAACTCCACAGTCAACATGATTATCCCTCGTGCGCCAATTCATGTTCACCCTTTCTGGTTCAACACCCTCCAAAGTTGAAGCTGATTTGTGATTGACCCTCATCAAGTACCTACTAAAAAGTATTTTCTGCAAAAAAGAAATTGTCATTTTCTATAATTATTATTTTATTTAGATTATTAGTATATTAATACTTATATTTATAATGTAAATTTATTATTCTTACCAATTCATTAGGTGCATCACGATAAGCTCTAGGAAACTTTGCAACTGAATTCCTATTGTCAATGACATCAACCGCTGGTTCCTCTAAGTTTATGCAGATGATGTAAAAGTGATTTTTTTGATGAACTGGGAAAAACACCTGTTTAATAATTTAAATTGTTAAACTTTGTTTAAAATATGTAATATATTCAACAAAAAGAACAGTTTATTACCAAGTGAACTTTTTCAAATGTCAGAAGTTCTTTGTCCTTTTTCATTGCATCTTTGATATTTGACTCAAATTTATCAAATCTTTCATTGAAAGGGATATATTTGTCAAATATGAACTGTCTCTGCAAAAAAAATTAAATATACATCAAACTTTAAAGAGTAAATTGTTAAATTCACAATAAGGTAAATTTAAAATTTAAAATTATTCACACTGTGAATTATAATGGGATTCACTGTGTGAATTTTATTTTCTGCAAAAAAAAATTAAGAGATTCACATTGTGAATCTGTGTGAATGTGAGACATACATCCAAGATTCACATTGTGAATTTATGCATTTAACAGCAAAAGAGTTTGAGGTTCACCAAGTGATGTACACATACACATATTGAGAATTTTTACAACTATTTTGTTCATAGTGAATACAAACAAAAGTGTTGATCAACTTGCAAAAAAAAAAATTAAGAGATTCATATTGTGAATTTATGCATTTAACAGCAAAAGAGTTTGAGGTTCACCAAGTGATGTACACATACACATATTGAGAATTTTTACAACTATTTTGTTCATAGTGAATACAAAGAAAAGTGTTGATAACTTGCAAAAAAAAAATTTAAGAGATTCACATTGTGAATCTGTGTGAATGTGAGACATGGATCCAAGATTCACATTGTGAATTTATGCATTTAACAGCAAAAGAGTTTGAGGTTCACCAAGTGATGTACACATACACATGGTGAATTTTTACAACTATTTTGTTACTTATTCAGAACTATTGAAAATTTTATTTATTATATTATCAACATTAACTTACCACCATTGATGTATCAAAGAAATACCGATTCACTGTAGAATTTGATTTAAGCTTTTCTTCATAGTTCAAAATATCAGTCCAAGCATCAATGACATGTGCATGTACCCATAATCCTGCCTGCATTGTTTCAATCATTCCTCTTCCAAGCACATAACCTCTCTTAGTCTGAAATACCTTCTCACTTAATTTGTAATCAAATAAAACAAAAAAGCAGTTAATAGAAAATTAATTTGTATTTGTATTTATATACTATTGTATTTAAATAAAAGATAACATGAATTATTACCTGCTATTACCAATTCTGGAAAAAATTCTATCTGATACTTTTACTTCATCTGGATCTACAAATTTTGATGCACAAACCTCTTTTTTATTATAAGGAGAAGATAGCTTCAGTGATGGTTTTTTTAATCTTTTTCCTACTTCTCTTTTTTTGTCTTCATCATCTTCAATTCCCAAGATATTATTGTCACATTCTGTTTCTTCTGAATCATAACTTTCTCCTTCATCAAGTTTTTCATTTTTTATTTCTTTCTTCATGTGTTCATCTTCACTGCTTTCATCTCCTTCCTGAAACTCTTGTGTTAGACCAAGACCAAGTCCAAGTGAAAAACTAGGCATTGATGATTTTCTAGTATTTTTTTTTATTTTTTTTATCATCTATTATTGTTTTTTTATTTTTTTGTTCTCTAAAACTTTTTACATTTTCAAAATCATCATAATCATCAAAATTTAAAATACATTGAATAGAATCAGCAATCTCATGCACTATTGGATCATTGTACAAATTTCCTGGTGTTACCATGATTGGTTGATTCTTTATTTCATGTTCATTCAAATTCTCATCGCTTTTTTCTTCATCTTCATTTTGAGTTTTATAAATGAATTCTTGTTCAAAGACTTTCTTCATATCTTTCAACTCATCGCTTTCTGTGAATTTTGTTGTTGAAAACTCAATTAACTTTCCAAACTTCAGTTTATCATTCACTAGTTTTTGTAATTCTTTTTCGCTTTGAATACCAATTCCTGCGAAATGAGATAAAAAATGTCAATAAAAATGATTTTTTTTTTAACTTTCTTCTATAATAAATTACAGTTCCAGAATATGAATGCATTGATGAGGTATCACATTTTTAATGCATTTTAATAAATTACATATTCACTTTGTGAATTTATTATAGAGAAAGTAATAAAATACACTTTTATATTCACAATGTGAACCACTTTATGAATTTCATCTTAACTACAATTTTATAACATATATCTGTAATATAACTTCAATTTTTTTTTAAATATATAGATTATTAACTTACATCGAGTTTCATATCTTCATTTTCATCGGTGTCGGATTCTTCATCATTCTCTATAACATCATCATTCCATTCCAAAGTTCCAAAGTCACCACTCTTTAACTCAGCTTTTTCCCTTTTCACCATCATTTCATAATCCCAAAAATGTAGTGCATGTATTTGTCTTTTTTCATTCTTATCATTCCTCATAAACTCCAAATAAGCTAACTGTTTATGTAAACAAAATATGATTAATTAGTTTTCTTATAATAATATAAATAAAAGTGTTAATTATAAGAATTTTCCTTACCAATAATACAAGAAGTGGCCCACAATAGTAGTTTCCTCTATCGGTTTCATCCCACGTCATCTTTGACATTTTCAAGCAATTGGTTATAAAACCACACCAGTCAATTTCTCTCATAGGTGTTTTGCCTAACAAATGTGGCAATACTGTTGTCTTACAAGTTCCAGGCTTATTCTGTTCACAGATGGTATTAACAAACAGTAATAAAAAGTTTGTTCTGAAAATAATCCCTGAATCTGATGATTCTTTAATTCTCTCTTCAACATCTGATGGTCTCATAGCCTTGAAATTGTACTGTTGCTTCCAATCCATTAATTCTTTTCCTTCACATTGATCAGTGTTATATATATCTTTTCCACCTAGAGGAATTCCAAGCAAATCATGAACAAGTTCTGGTGTTATGTCTATCTTCGCATTAGGTAGATGGATTTTCATATCTGATGGATTGAATGAATTCACAACAAAACGTGCCAATTTCCCAGAAATTCCATTGGTTGCAATTCTCAGCAAAGATCCCAATCCCATTTCTCTAACAGCTTTTTTCTGTTCTTTGTTTAAAGATTTAACAATATCATAAAACTTCTTTGGGCTCATTCTTGTTCTCAAAGATACTCTGTCATTTGGATTTATTGGCACTTTTTCCCTTTTTTCTTTGACTACTTCGAAAGTCTTTGTTTTTCTTTTTTTTTTCCTGTTAGTCAATAATTTTCATAAGCTTCTCATAATATAACATATATACTATAAAATAACTAACAATACAAGAAATTCACATGTGAATTTGTTTTGCAAAATATAATATAATACATAAAATAAACATGTGAATTTGTTTATAACTTTGTAAATTAAACATGTGAATAGTAATAAACAAACCTGTTACTTTTTCATCAGATTCTTTCTTTACAAGGCTATCATCAACTTTAATAGGAGTCACAGATTTTTTGTATTCAATCATTTTAAGTCTTGGACTCTGTCTGATTTCTGTTCATGTTTTAACAAAATTAATAAGAATTAATTTTATAATATCAAATTCAATTATAATTTTATAAATACTAACCTTGAGTTGTTTTCTTTTCAGGTGTCTTGAATTGCTTCATCGACTTTTTCTTTTTTGTTTTTTGTAATCTTGGACTCCGTATGATTTCTGTTCATTTAAAAAAAAATTAAAGATAACTGATTTTATATATTAAAGTAAATTATAATTTTATAAATACTAACATTGTGTTGTTTTCTTTTCAAGTGTCTTCAAAACATATTCATCTTGCTTCATCAATTTTTTTGTTTGCTTTTTTTGAATCTCATCACCTTCTAAACTTTTTTCTTTTTCAACATTTTCATCAATAGTCTTTTCATCTTCATTTTTTCTTAATTTATTAACTATTTCCACCACGGTTCTCCTTGCTGTGTTTTTGGTATATTTTTTTGAACCTTCAACTACACAATGTGAAATTTTTAATATCAATGTCAAAAATATAAGTAGTATTACGAAATACATGTTAAACAATATAAAATTGAACATGTGATGATCAAATTGCAAAATCTTTTTAGAAATTCACATTGTGAATTTATGCATTTAACAGCAAAACAGTTTGAGGTTCACCAAGTGATGTACACATACACATGGTGAATTTATACAACTATTTTGTTCATAGTGAATACAAACAAAAGTGTTGATCAACTTGCAAATTGAGAATTTTTACAATTATTTTGTTCATAGTGAATACAAACAAAAGTGTTGATCAACTTGCAAAAAAAAAAAAATTAAGAGATTCACATTGTGAATCTGTGTGAATGTGAGACATAGATCCAAGATTCATATTGTGAATTTATGCATTTAACAGCAAAAGAGTTTGAGGTTCACCAAGTGATGTACACATACATATTGAGAATTTTTACAACTATTTGTTCATAGTGAATACAAACAAAAGCGTTGATCAACTTGCAAAAAAAAAAAAATTAAAGAGATTCACATTGTGAATCTGTGTGAATGTGAGACATAGATCCAAGATTCACATTGTGAATTTATGCATTTAACAGCAAAAGAGTTTGAGGTTCACCAAGTGATGTACACATACACATGGTGAATTTTTACAACTATTTTGTTCATAGTGAATACAAACAAAAGTGTTGATCAACTTGCAAAAAAAAAAAAAAAAATTAAGAGATTCACATTGTGAATCTATGTGAATGTGAGACATACATCCAAGATTCACATTGTGAATTTATGCATTTAACAGCAAAAGAGTTTGAGGTTCACCAAGTGATGTACACATACACATATTGAGAATTTTTACAACTATTTTGTTCATAGTGAATACAAACAAAAGCGTTGATCAACTTGCAAAAAAAAATTTAAGAGATTCACATTGTGAATCTGTGTGAATGTGAGACATGGATCCAAGATTCACATTGTGAATTTATGCATTTAACAGCAAAAGAGTTTGAGGTTCACCAAGTGATGTACACATACACATGGTGAATTTTTACAACTATTTTGTTCATAGTGAATACAAACAAAAGTGTTGATCAACTTGCAAAAAAAAAATATTTTTTTTAAGAGATTCACATTGTGAATGTGAGACATACATCCTCACAGATTCACCAAGTGAATTGTACCATACACATGGTGAATTTTTACAACTATTTTGTTCATAGTGAATACAAACAAAAGTGTTGATCAACTTGCAAAAAAAAAAATTTTAAGAGATTCACATTGTGAATCTATGTGAATGTGAGACATACATCCAAGATTCACATTGTGAATTTATGCATTTAACAGCAAAAGAGTTTGAGGTTCACCAAGTGATGTATACATACACATATTGAGAATTTTTACAACTATTTTGTTCATAGTGAATAGAAACAAAAGTGTTGATCAACTTGCAAAAAAAAAAATTTTAATAAGTGTGTAGTATTGAATTAGATAACTATTATTTTTTAATCTGAATGCGAATGTTTCTAACTTTATTTTTAATCTTGAATATCTTCAATTTTTTCACTTGTAGTTGAAGGTAGAACATCTTTTAGATTTCTTGTCAATTTCATTCTTTTCTTATTATCTTTTTTTCCATTGTTCTTTTCTTCATTTCCTGTTTTTGATTAACAAAAGTTCAAACATCATTTCATGGGTATGAAAGTTATGATTATTCATATTTTTCACATGTGAATCAGGATTACAAATGAATTTAACATAATATTTATTCACATTGTGAATTCAGTTTGAATCAAAACATTATCAATGCAACTCTTTTATAATTTACAATGAGAAACACATTAAGAGATACAATATCAATTAAACATAGATGCATCATAAAATTTCACAAGATGAAAAAATCAAATGTAAATGATAAATCACCCTGTGAATTCACAATTTGAATAAATGATATGTTAAACTGATATATAATCATGATTCACTTTGTGAATTGTCAAATAATGTAATACTCATAAACATTGAATCCTTTCAAAATAATCAAATGTAAAAACAAAGCACACGGTGAATTCAAAATGTGAAATTAGTTTTTCAGTTTAATGAATAAACTCAGAAGCCACTTAGATTCACAAAGTTTTTAGGAAATTACGGTTTGTAATTTAGATATTCATGTTTCTTCTGTATCGATTTGAAGAAATTTATATCATTAGGTTTTTGGTAATTATACAAATTCTCAAAATTCATGAAATTAGGGTTTCGATTTACTTATAAACTCAGATTCGAGTTAGATTCACAAAGTTTTAGGAAATTTCAGTTTGTAATATAGATATTCATGATTTTCTGTATCGATTTCAAGAAATTTAAATCATTAGGTTTCGTTATGTATACAAATTATTAAAAGTTCATCATCCGAGGGTTTCAAATCAGTCTAAAACGATTTTGTTAATAAAATAGTGTATTCACAGATTCATCGAATACATAATGTAACAGATAGTTTAGATTTGTCGTTTTGAAATTTATCAATCGAAAAAATATAATGTTGAAAATGCATTAAATGAGATAATCGGAAATGAATAGCAGTCAAATATACCTTTTAGATTCATTTTGACGAACTTTTCGGGAAGATTCACTGTGGATATTGACTGAATCGTCGCCGGAGATTCGTTAGAAATCGATGTTCGTCGGTGAAGTAAAAGATCGCTTTCAATGAGAGGGTAAAATCGATTTCACTGATATGTGAAACTGATGAACTAACGTCGTTAATTAACAGTGAGAGTTAATAAGTTTTAGGTTGACGAAAATGCCCCCTTAAGTTACGTGTTTGGTTATAATCAGCTGGACACTATTGTTTTTCATACTTTACATCTCAAATCCAATGGCTGTAATTTTTTGATCCAACCATCTTAATAGGTTCCTTGGTTCCTCCACTCATATGG